GTGCCCTTCAATTAGATCAGGCTGTGGCCCCTTTGTATGGTATGTGGCTTGCATTTTTATCCGGCTGGGGCTACGGTTAATGTCGCTGCTCAAGCACCGAGTTGGTTTTGTGCCGGGCCGTGGCACCGTTGGCGTTCCTGCGCTCTGGGCCCCTCTGCTCCGCCGTGGGCAGATGCTGCTGCTTCTTCCCCTGGTGGGAAGGGGCTCCAAGCCCCCCCAGTTTGCAACTGCGTCTCCGCAGCGGGAGCTAAAAGCCTTTTCCAATAACGGCTTCATTTTGCCTGTTCCTTGCATTCTGCAAAGGTTTGGAAAAGTGCTTCATAAAATGGAATCGGCAATTGAATAACAAATTAAACATTTTTGTGAACTTTCCAATGCTGATTATGGTTTTCCTAGCCTGGCTAAAACCAAGAGCAGCCTCTCTTTGTGGTGTGGCTGGCGCCAAGGCATGAAGCCACATGTGGAAATTAAATATATAATTTTCAAACGTCAGCATAGGTCAAGGTTTTGTTTTAAGAGTGGGCCAAAGGCGCTGGCTGAATTAATTACTGCTTTTTTTCTTTAACCCTGTGATGAGGAATAGCACTGTTTAGCAATTGCTGATCACATTGCTTCCTTGGGCTCTGCTGATGAGAGTACTCCTAGGTGGTGAGGAAGACTAAGGGCTGCTCTGCTGCGGGGTGCAGAGTGTGATGTGTGAATTTACAGCGCGCCAGCCACGTGCTTGGCGTGGGGCAGCTCTTGGAGCATGGAAAGCTGCCCTGCACGAAGGTGTTCCTTGCGGGCACTGAAAAAAAACCATCCTCACGGGGAACAGATGGGGAGCAGCTCCTGTGCCATATGCCCTGCTCTGCCCCGTTGCATGCTGCCGTCCCCGGTATGGAAAGCCGGGTGCTGCAAGTGACCTGGGGACGGATTTGCAAAGGTTGAAAGGCGGTGTGTTGGGCCAGCACTGCAGAGCTTGACATTAGAGTTATGTATGGTAGGGATCTGGGTCCAAAAAAAATAAGTGAAAAACCTCCACAGCAGTTGTGTGTCCTTCAAAAATCAGGTCCTTGAGCAATCGGTTTCCCTGGCTGTGGCAAACTGAGAGCTGGGGCTCTAAACCCTTGGCCTGGACTCCCTCGCTGGGCTGGGGAGGCAGAGGTACTTGCTGAAAGCGGATCTGTCCTCTTAATCCCTTTCCCTTGGCTGCAAGGAAAACCAGCAACTGGAGTTGGTAAAGTCCATCTGTAATGATAAATCCACAGAGAAACGTGGCCACCAAACTGCACTTTTGGGCCAGATTTTGGACTTGTACCTTGAAGTTTATTGTCTGATTCTGGAGAAGTCTCGACTTCTCCTTCTAACTCTGTGTAGGTCTATGTGTATGCGTACCTGTGTATTTTACCCGAGATGAGCACTTGCTGCTGTTAGGACTTGGGGACTGGTCTGGCAGAGTCCCATTTTCCCTGCCCCATCTCCCCATCTGCTGGATGTCCTGCAAGCCAGAGCGTTCACTTGTGGGGGGAGAGACACGCGCTCCATCCCTTGTCTTGGATCGAAATTTTCTGCCTTCTGGGAGGGGGCTTGGCCCATGGGTTAGAGGACGCGTGAGCAGAGGGCCAGGGGTGAGGGGTGCTCGCAGCATGGAAGCAGCTTCCACTTTTACGTGAGGGGCTCGGGGTGCGTCGGCAGGAATACCAGACCCTGGGCCTCCCAGGCAGCTGCTGCCCTGGTCAGGCTTCACACCGCTGACTCCTTGGCCAACGTGACGCTAAACCAGGGTGCTGAATGCCAAAGTATTCACAAGACCAAATTCTCTTGTGTTTGCTGTGGTTTCAATATTGGGTAGGCTTTCTGAGGAGGAGGTGGAGGCTCCTCGCTACTGGTGCTAAAAGGGTTTGCTCGGCTCATCTGCAAGGCAAGGAAGAAGACAATAAATTTGAGAAGGACATCTGAAGGCCAGTCCGAGGGGATTGTGGTGCCTTGTATCCCACTTTCCTGCGGCTAGCCGGGGAGGTGGAAGGTGCGAGGTGGCTGAGCGCTGGCTGAACTGTCACAGGAGAAAGCGGGGGCCCAGGGGAGGAGGAGGAGAGCCCAGCAGTGAAAAGTTAAGGTGCTGATGGCCACCAAGGCATGCTGGTCATGGCCAGGAGAGAGGACACCCCTATACCGAGCAGCCCTCCCCCCAAAACAGTGACCCAGTGACCTGGCCGAGCAGGCAGGAGGTAGAGCAGGGTGGAGAGTGCTCTTGCTTCAGTGCACCCAGAGTCCAGGATTGTGCACTCATGGGCTTCACTGAAAGGATTTTCTCCCGATTTATGTAGTTTTTACTCTCATTTGCTTGTGCCCCTGCCCTCCCAGAGAGCAAAGCTGTGTTAGCAGATAGACTACATAGGCACTCTTAAAAACAGCCACCTTGTTCCTGGTGCTTATGACCTCCTGTCTCGATTTTTTTACACCACTTTCAAACATCACTTTCTTTCTTTCTCCCAGTGCTGGTATGTGTGTTTGAGCTTTACAGTGTCAGGATGACAAGGACTGGTTTATCAGGATAGGTTTTTAATCAACAAAGGAAAGCTTACAGTCAGCTCCATGAATATCTGTCACACCTGCTTTTCTAACAACAGAGCTGTTATTTCAAAGCATAAAGGATCTGAAAACTAACAAAATTACAGCGGAGGAGTACAGGCCCTTGCCCATGCTGCGTTCCTTGCTCCTCAGGACATCAGTTACGTTGTCTGAAGACCCTTGCCTCTCCTTTAGCAGGTCCGAGTGAATCTTCCGGCAGAAGACAATTTGGCTTAGACACCGGGGTGAAGCCATTTCATCTTTACGACTTCTACCCTTCTTTCCTTCGGTGCATCACATCTGACACTGGGACTGAGCAATCGGAGCTTTATAACCCATGAAATTCCAAAACTGAAAGTTCTTAGAGCAAAACGTTAACTTTGCTGCCGTGCGTATCCTGTGCACTTTGTTGTGCAGGTCAACCGAGAGTGATACCCTGCGCTGACAAGGAAAACAGGAACAGGGAATGCTGCGTATGCACAATTTGGCAGAGTTAATGTTAATGTAGAAACTTAAACTTTTGGTATTTGCTGATATTTGAGGGGTTTATTTCTCAGCTTTAACAGTAAGCATTGCTGCTTTTCCCCTAGCACGCAGGTTGTAAATTAATTCCAAGTTTTGAAGACCAGCTCCAGGAAAAAAAAGCACAGTTCGTGACAAGTTACATTTCTAGGTAACACTTAGGAAATGCCAAATTCTTAAAAATATTTGAGGAACTTACTGAAAGATGCTGGTGGAACCTCCCTTGTCACTTAACCTCGCTCAGAGCTGTAACCCGGGCTGCTGTGGTAGCCAAGCTGGCAGGAGACTAAGGCGAGCTGGAAGCCGTCTGCTCCTGTGTTTCATTTACCAGGCTAAGGGTCCTCGCTCCCATACTTTCTCACCTGAGGTTGCTTTAGTGACCATTCCGCTTCTTCAGGTCCTGTGTCCAGATTCTTTTTCTACCCATCTGGTACAGCTGGAATTGGGTAAAGTTAAGGCGTTTTTTTTACCCTCGCAACATTATTTAGGAAAACAAGTATTATTACAGCTCTCCGGTGGGGATGCTAATGTTCTGAGCACCAGAGCACTGCATGCAACACAGCAGCTGTTATATATTCAAGGGTGAAATTCCAATAATAGTACGCTATATAATCGCTGGATAAATATTTATGCTTGTGAAGGTTAAGTGACTTGGAGTACTATAAACTCCAGCCTTTTGGACAGGCCACTGCAATTTAAGCCTTCTTGCAGTGACCTACCACTGACCTCTCTGCCACTGTAGAGGTAAAAATTAAGAGTTGCCTCTGCTGAGCAATAACGTGGTGCATAAAACACATCAGATGTTATTTGAACCCAGCTACTCAGAACCACTTCTCATCTCTAACATTGCTTAAATTTCCTTGAAACTTCTCCCAGTGTAATTTTATCCACAAACCCTGCATCGTGTTGTCTCAACATCAGTGTAAGAGGGTGAAAGCCTCTTGAAGATGACAAGCATCATATCACAAGCTGGAGTTTTGGTGTTTTAGTCATGTGATGGATGGGAAGCATGTTGTTATCCTCTTCTAATGTGCAGGCACATCTTCAAGGCTATGATGTGGTTAACTTGCTCCAGAAATGCCAGACTACTACTAAAACAGTTGTACAAGTTGGGTCCCATTAGGATCTGTAGTTTGGGGCCTTTCAGCACTCATGGAGCAAAAAAAAACCCAAACCCAACAACTAACCCCAAAACAGGTGAAGCTGCAGTCTTCGTGAACTCAGCACAGTTGGGATTCGCTCCAACCATTTAACCCGAGTGTGTTTTCAGAAAGTTGATAATTTCACATTTGCTTCCCAAGCTGCATTCCAGAGGGATAACAGATACAGCCTTACTCCTTTTCCTCCGTCTCACTAGTGCCGTTATTTCCTACCTGAAGCCAGAGAACAGAACTCCATTCAGTGCAGCCGATGGGTTCCTTTACCCTCCGGCCATTAGGAATGACCCCATCCGTGCTGGACAGAAGAGCAAACCATGATGACGTGTCTCATTTTAATCCAAGCTGGCAGGGAGTGTTTCACTTGCTGCTTTGAAGCACTGGAATGGTTTTTAGACTCCCGTCTTCTACTGAGAAAACAGAACGCACCCTTTCAGAAGCGAGCTATGCGAAATCAGGGCTCTATTGACTTAGTTCTACTTGCCCAAAAGAAACGCATCGCCATAAACCATGTCTTGAAGCAGCTTTCCTAAAAAAAGCCTGATTTATTTCTATGCCGTTCCACCATGGTTGGTAGCTGTTGTCAAGACATGCTGTTATCTTTGGAGCAAGAATATTAGCAGCAGGCTTATGGCTTACTAATGCTATGTTGAGGATTGTTTATTTTATCTGGCAGTTGCTATCTAAAAGAATGGCTTTAGGACAACAATATACATTTCAGTCTGAGGAACTCATTAATAATACTTTAATCCACAGGAGTCTTAGGTTTTATTTTGCTTTACTCGGCACTGGGAAATTTTTTTTCTTGACTTGTCCTCTCTGAACTTGCCGAGCACGAGTTCCAAATCCCAGAGACTGCATTGATTCTGTTAAGTATTTCTGGTGAGGAGAGATGCACAGCATCACCAACAGTTTAGCATCACCTCCTAAAAGCAGGAAAAAGACAAAACATACTTATTTACCTCATTATTTTCAGTAAGTTATACAGTGGTAATATATCGATCTACACAACAACGACCATAGGCTGCCCATGAAGAGGGCTGTTGAAAACAGACAGCTCCTTCAAGGGAAGTCTGTACCTAACGATAGGGTATTTGCTCCAGGAGAAGAAACATTTCACAGTTAGTAATGTAGGTTTTTTTCCCCTTATAGCTTCATCAGTTAGTCAGCTTGTATGTTACGGGCCTGGGCACTTTGTTAAGCTTTGTCAAATGGTTGTAAATTTGCGGTAATGGCAAAAAGGCTTATTTGTGTGACAGTAAAGCAAAACAGACTTGGAAGTTCACAGAGAATGATTAAACAAACAAGGGAATTGCCACTTGCAGCCCTTCACCTCAACAATGTCACCCAAGTCATATACCAGGCATGGTTAAAACCAGGCTCAGTGTCCACGCAACGTAGCTCCTAAACGCATTTCTTTCTTTGGCTTTCCCTTTTCACAGTGGGGACTCCAGCGCTAGGTGAAATTCAAAGTTCAAGCAAAAATTAATAGAAGCCCCGAAGAACTGTTACCTCAGTCACTGTCAATGCCTTGAACTGGGGACTGAAAGCATCAGGGCTGATGCTTTCTGGCTGAAGAAAAATGGACTAATATACTACATGGATGGGCACAAATCTGACATTACTGCAGGAATTACACTTGCTTTAAAACTGTTTCTGCATGGATGAGGAGCTACAGAAGAGGAAGCGACCCAAACACAGAAAGAAGTTGTAGCACAGTACCATGAGTAAGTTCTGTCTCTCCCCTTTGTCTTACTGCTACCGGGCACAATGTTAAGGAATGTGCAAATATGTGACTGCTCCCTGTAGCAATAAAGATTGAAGCTTAACTTGTAAACTGTACCTGACATGAAACACCAATGAAATGCAATTATTACCCTTTACATGATCCTGTTGAGATAGCGTGATTTTTACATGTGTATTCCTAGACTGAACCTTGGAAACAGCAAGGTTTAGCCAAATTCAGGAGGAGTTCAGAACTCTCGCTGTGTACTCACACTGCTCCAAAGCCAGAGTCTTTGAATAGAGGCCCGCATACAAGGGAAGAGTATAAGATCAGCCTCTAGTTTTATACAACAAAGGAGGGGAAAGACTGGCAAAAGAAATCTATATTGTTAAACAAAAGTCAGAATAATCCCTCACCTACGGAGTCCTGAAGCAGATGTGTAAGTTTGCTGTTTCGATATGGTACGTGCGATCGCTGTTCTGCTATTGCTCCAAGAACGTCTGCCAGGGCAGACAAGCTGCGGTTAATAAAGGATGTCTCTCTCAGTGCTGCACCTGTCACTCCAGACATACCTAGTACAGCGTAGAAAAAGGCAATGGTAAGACTAAGCAAAGCTGCTTCAACTGCAATGTGTGAAAAATTCTATTGCTGTATCATCTTCTTTTGACTCTACATTTCAAAACACAAATTCTGAATCATCACTTCCAGTCCACCCATGCCAAAAGCAAGATGCAGTGGTTTTTCACTCTGGACTGCCAATAGATTGCTCAGTACTTCTACTCTTTTGAAGGAAAGTTAAAGAAGGTTCAGTGCCTGCAGATGGTCTGAAGCATCTCCTGTTACAGTGGATCTCGTCAGCTGTACACGGCATTTTGGCTCCATAAGTATTAAGAACAGGGAACCGAGAAAGTAGGAACGCCGTAAGATCAGACAAGACGACGCTTCTTTTGAAAACACCAGTCCACAGTGTCCCCAGAGAGAGGCCTGTTGTGTTCCACCATTTTTTATAATAGTGAACTGTCCCCGCCTGTGTCCCTTAGGAAACACAGGTGTGACACTGATGGCATAAGCTGCAGAAACAAAACTGTACAGCAGCCATTAGTGTGAGGGGTTTATGTTCACCACAGTCTGTACGGTGCTGTTTTGTGGTATGGTTTGCTGTAATGAAACTGATAAGGGAAAATGATGCCCTTCTGCCATGCCCCCAGCACGGTGGTACGTAGCCATGCTGCCCTTGGGCAACACTGGAAAGCTCTGGTCTACGCATCATGTTGCCCCAATTTAAAGAGGTGCTGCAAGCTCAACTCTTTGATCAGTCTGGATGAGTGTGCAGTTAAGAGTAATTAACTCCTCCTGTCCTCACCGCTGCCAGCTGGGGAAGAGAAACTTGCTATTAGCATTTAGCATCATATTATTCAAATTCAGCCCTTCTTTAGGATAGTGCCTGAGGTACGGATGCATCCGCACTCATTACCCAGAGCACATGATCCGTGCTAGGCAGAGCTAATGGTAGCGGGATGATCAGATGGGGTAACAGTTTCCTCAACTGCCTACTGTCCCGCCTCTAAAGAAGCGCAGAGAGAGGCTACAGATCTTGTTTTCCCTTTAGGCTGTCATTTTCCAAACTGGGAGAACAAGAGAGGTGTTCAAGAGGCAGATGTGAAAAGGCACAGTGATAGCAGAAAACCCTGAAGTCTGGACAGTGAGGGCAGGAGAAATGTGACTGTGGGAGAGAACGGGGCTGGAGTGGTAGAGAGGCACAGAGCAAAACAGTTTGGAAGACCCTGGCACAGAGTGGACAATAATCTGAGCTGGGATGTGTCTCAAACGAACATTACTGGGGTCATGGTATATACAGCCATCCCCAGGCTTCTTTTATAGCAAGCAAAGGTGAACTCCTGAGACAACAGGTATCACTCAAAAGCAGAAAACTGCAAATAAGTGAGGGGGTACATCTACATTTGGTTAGAGGAACTTCCATAAAGTATGTAGCTGAGTTTTCAAACTGAAACCTAGTCTGCTAAAAAGGGACCACTTAGCTTATAAATGCTGTAAATGATCCAGGATGGCTGTAGAGCTGACAAAGCAGGGTGCTGAAGTGTGTGAGAAGCCTGCTGTACTGCTGCTTACTGAGATCTGTCCACATTTTAAAACACTTACAAGTTAACAGCTCCCCTGGCTTTTATCAGAGTAAGTCCACCAGCGTAGCTGATGGCAGAGGTTTGTCTGCTGCCGGTGCTGGGCCACATCTAACACTGATGTAAGCGAGCGCAGCTCTCCTGGCTTCGCTGGACGATCTGGCCCACCAAGCCCCAAACCAAGTAAATGTTTGTCCCGGTTGAACTGAGAGAACAAACACACACACTGTTGCTCAATTACATGTTTACCAAACAGTTTCCAGTGCTCAGAGCAAATGAAAAAAATAATGTATTATATTAGGTTTCTCTGTAGAACAAAAGTTTAACAGTGAGCAACAGCAAGAATTCTTGGCAGTAAAGTAAAAGACTCATAATACTGGTTCAGTTTTCAAAACATTATTTCTGGAATGGTACATTTGGCTGCATGGCTTTTCTTGGTAAGAAAGCTTGTCCTTTAGGAAATAATCAAGTTTTTGAAATTATTGTGTGCATAGAGGAGGCGGGATGAGGAAAACGCTTTGAAGAACAATGAAAACAATATTATCTTTTCAACACTAACTTCCTCCAAGACTTTTTCCACATAAGGCAGAAAAACCCACGCATGGTGATATCAATTATTACAGATATTTGTAATGCTTAAATAATTTATGCACTTTAAACATTTCTGTACAAAGACATGCTAATTTCAGAGTAGAAAAACAGGCCTAATAAAACCAGTTTGAACAAATAATATACCTATGATATGGGTAATTGCCCTAGGCTTATTTCAAGCTTATGCAGTCAGATTTTCAGTTAAACTGTACCAGTTTAAAACTGGAACAATCAGCCCGCAAAATTTTGTTTATGCCAGGATCTGTGGGTTTAAACCAGCCCCTGTGTGAAAGCAGGGTAGCATGTACCCCTACATGAAGACGTCAAGGCAGCTATTGTAACCTAGACCTGGGAGGATCCATGCCCATAGACAGACACGTTCGCTTACCGACACACTCGCTACCAGCCAGGTCCACCAGCTGCAATCTAGTTTTGACTTGTTTCATTTTCTCAGTTGCTTCAAGTTGTGCTGGTGAAGAGGCTCTGGAAGAAGAGGTGGATTTACTGTCTCTCTCTTTTTGTGGAAAGGTGCAGGAAACCTCTTTATTTAGTCTCTGACTGGTTTGTTCATCTTCCCATGAAGTACCTGGTTAATGGAAAAAACAAACAAGGAGAGCTTCTCACTGACACTGGAAATTGAGATGGGGAAAAAATGGGGCATCAATAGGGGAAGTACAATATCAGCTGGTTTAGGCTATTTTAACAGAAACAATATACAAGTCAGAATCAACGGCACAGGCAGGCTGAATGACTCTATTTTATTTAAGGTTTTGCTCATCAAACCAATTGTACCAGTTGGAAACAAGACTTGGCGTAGGTTGTATCTAATATCCCCATTGTTCACACTTCTACGTGGAAAACAAGAAACAGGAGTCCAGTAAGGGCTATAAAGAGGTGGGGTTTGTGTTTTAGATTGACTGCAACCAAAGTGAGATTTTGGATGTTTGGGAGCGATAAGCCCTGAAGTCTGTTTCTACGTATTTGAAACATCATTTGCTGGTGCTCTGGCAAAAAAAAAAAATAAATAAATCATCTTCATCCTGCCTCTTCTATTTTGTCCTTTGCTGCTGTTCCCTCTAGACTTCCTTCAGCCCTCATATCCCACTGCTGCATCTCCACATGATGAGCTATTAGCCTTAATAGCATTACTCCCACTTATTCAGGTTGGTTACCTATGACTCCTGGTAGTTCTGTACCTGCACTAGACTGCTTCATTTCCTTCCTCTTCCTCAGCAGCAGCACCTGGCTTTCACTCTCTGCTGGGAAGGAAGAGGAAGACAGATTCTCTGGGAAAGCTGCTTTCACATTAGCTTAGCAGGATTATATGCAAAAGGGCTTTCCCAAAGCAGTTTTGCTCTTTTTCATCAGTGTTTTGGTTTTCATGCATATCTCTCTCTCTCTCTGAAAGACGTAGAAGAATAAAAGGTGCATACTCTGCTACAGGTAACAGAGGCAACAGACTTTCTTGGGGACTTAAAGAGTCTAGTTGTAATAGTACAAAGTTCCCAGCTGCAAAACCTGAGTAAGGAGCAGACTGAATTGCATTGCAGAGCTCTGTCCCTCTCCAGCTAGGCTGTTGCTAAAACCTGAGCTAGCTGTTCACAGTGGAGATGGAGCAGCTGTGTTAGTTTACACAGAATAAATGGCTTCAGGCCATACAGTGTAAAAATAAGCATTCTCACTCCTCTTCAGTTTGAGACGAGAAAATTAAGAAACTGCTCTCCTCAAACAACAGATAATACTGAAACAAAATGCTAAAAGACCTTAATCAAACCTGAAAAAGTGCTGGCTTGTCTAACCTGGCTTTAGGTGCAGAACTCATCACACACTTTACAACTTTTATTTAGTGACTTAGATCTCTGGTGGTGAGATATTTGACAATTGCACCTAGCTTTTAAATCAGGAATATCTCCTTTTAAACAAGACAGAATGTGCTGTCACACTGCTACAGCAAGGTCCCACTTGCAGTCCTGCTCTAACCCCCATGTTGCACATTGTGATCCGTGCGCTATGAGCTGGAAGCCTGAGCCTGCCTTCAACATAAATTAGACATTTCTATGGAGCTTTGCTGCCAGACAACGTGGCATAGCAGGGTGACTGCAATTAGAGGTGGCAAAGGGAAGTCTGGACTAGACAAGATGGCTGGGGCGCTAACGCAAACACTGTGTTTGAAAAGTCACATCTGTCTGACTGACAAGAATCTGGAACTGGCTAGAGCTAACATCTGGAATGCTGGAGCTGCAACTGGTAAAGTACCTGTGTCTTTTGGCAAGGCCCGTAGGTAGGTGTGGGCACTGTTTGTTCTGGTTTGCTAATACTGTCAGTTTAATTTCTGATAGCAATCTAAGGGAAAAAATGTTAAATATTTTCCACTTTCTAAAACCATATTGTTGTTGCAGAGTATGAAGGAGATGGACCACAGCACTGGAAGCAGAGAGCCTAATTACAACGTGAGCAAAAGAAAACAAAGTTAACCCTCAAAAGCTGAAGTTATTCCTAAAGCAATAAACTGGTAAGCCTTAGTGTGGTAATGAAAAGCAGAAATACAGGTTTTGCCACAGTAAATAAGACAACTGTGTTGTCTGTTCCTACAGTGGCCTATTATTAACAATTAAAAAGACTCTGAATTTAATGGACATTTTTGCAAGGCAGCGGGTAAAAAAAAAATAAATTCTTTCTTACCCAAAACCATATGATGATCCCTAGAACGCATGGTCAGCTTTACCACAAACTTAGCATAATTATATGATATGTCATACAAAGTGACTTAACTACTGTATTTCAGTATCTATCTTATTGAGATCTATCTTATGACTTATTGTTAACATTTATTTCAGTAGTTGTTTCACGCTATAAAACTTCAAGAACTCTGTAAGTCAGGACATGTAAAGAAAAGCGAAGAGTTTTTATGAAAATGAAAGTTTCAGTAGCATTCAAACCGACCTGTTAAGAAGGTATGTAAAAGTTAAAAAATGGAAAAGAACTGGGGAATGTATTAAACATTGAAAAAGGAGGAAAAAACAGTATCAAAGACTCTCAGTTCACAGAATGTTATTCAAAAAACAACTGGCTCTAGATGTATTTTATTAACATCCTACTTACCAAAGTTATCTCCGGAGACAACTGTGGTTATGGTCAACGTAACTACCAGATGAGAACGAGAGGAATGAGCATGCACCAGTGTGGGATGCCTGACTCTCAGCTGTAGGCCTTTGTTGACTAGATGCAAAAAGTCAGATGCATTTTCAACAGTCCTAGGAAGTAAAGAAACAAGCAGAAAATTTAACTGACACACACTAAAAAACACACGAGAAAGCTGACAACTTAGATGTGAATCTGAGCATTTCCACTTCCCTGCTTTTCTAACTCATTATACTATTCGCAGTTTTGAGCTGCACGAACAACTGTATATAGACTTTTTCGTGGGATATAGTCCAAGATGAAAACTCAAGACAAAAGCTGTGATGTCTCACTGAAAGTGCTGAAGAAGTGGCCCGCCAGCCTTGCAGGTCTATAGGTACTGTAGCTAAGCTCTAGAAGTGACTGAAATTTCTATACCTCCACACTTTGGAAGAAAAGACACAGATTTAGGCATTCC